TTGGTTACATAATCTGCAGGGCAAAATGAAAATGTGGGCCCTTGTCAAAAATGACAAGATTTCAAGGTGGCAGAGCATCAAATTAAGCCGGAGCTCTCCATGGGACACCCCTACTCTGGGCTTGGGACGCTTCCACCACAGAAGAGCATGGGAGTCCCACCTGAGTGTTTCATGGGCGTCCTAGCCCTTCTGTAGACCTTGGACAGTCACTTGCCCTCTCTGAGCCTGGCCTTGTCATCTCTAAAAGGAAGACTTGTTCCCGGGAGGGTGGGCCATGAGTGTGACGAGAGAGGCTGGGTGTCAGGCTGGATAGGGCATCTCGGGAGCCAGAGCTTGGGTTTTACTAACCAAATCACTCAGGGCAAATGATTGCCTGTCCATAGCCCAGTGTCTCATCTGGAGAGTGGACGTAACACAGCGGGGCTATGATGTGGATGAGTGGAGTGACTCTGGGTAAAGCACTTAGAATAATATCACCACCCCCGCTGCTGTCCCCCCAATAAGGCCCAGGAGATGTTACCTATTGCTTGGTCTATTATTCTTACCCACCGGTGCTGGACCGTGCAGTGTTTCCTTCTGTTGTGTATAGGGTCGCTATGGGTTGGAACTGACTCCATGGCACAGAGCAACACGAGGCACAGGACATCCAGGTTAATTCCTTTCTGAGGGGTGGGAAACAAGACAGGCTGCTAGTGGAGAGGCGTCAGAATACGGGATGGATTTTTCACAGCCTGCAGGAAGGTCCCATCAAACCCAAACCCACTGCCATTGAGCCAATTCCAACTCCTAATATCCACAGGTCTTCAGGATTCTAAGTCTTTATGGGAGCAGACAGCCTCTTCTTTCTTCTGATGAGCCATTGGTGGTTTTGAACGGCTGACTTTGCGGTTAGCGGCCTGATGCCGAAGCCAGACAGTACATCTTAGAGGCCAGAGATGTGGCCTCTAAGAGATGTCCAGTAGGAGGAGTCTTAGATAAACGCACCTATTATGTGCCAACCACAGTACTTCCTATTGTTTGGATAGGTGGTGGGAGGAGGTTGGGCTGAGTTTAAATATGGCCCTAACAGATGGTTGCTGAAGAACTGTGTGTGTGCACCCCAGGAAGATGAAGTTACAGTTGAGAGCAGTGAAGATGGATGGGTAATAGGCGGGGTAGGGTGGGGGTGGGGAGGTCGGGGAAAGATACAGGGAGCATTGGAAATGGTGAATGTGGAGACCGTGGCAACAGACTGGTTCTTGGGGGCAGGGAAGGACGAACAGCTGGGAAAGCTCACTTGAATTTCCTGGTTCAGTTATATGCCCAGAGCTGTGTTGATTCTTAGGGATGACACGGCAAGCAACACACACACACCTCTGGTCTCCTGATCTCCCAGGGACTGGGGGAGACTGGTGTGGCAAAACAGTCTAGAGCAATGGGAAAGGAAGGTGTACCAGGCAGATGGAACAGCATGTGCAAAGGCCCAAAGCTAGGTAATTACTAGTGACCCAGACAGCTCTGGCTAACAGTGTGGCAGTTACATAATCTGTCAACTTGCGAAGGGGTGGAGCCTAGTCTGTCAATCAGGTTGCAGTGTGATGACCTCCTTTGGAGGCACTATGGGGAAAAATAGCTCACTGGAGGTCAGACCCATATTCTCTGCTTCCTGTGAGGCATTCCTGCTGACAAGCCACATGGAGCTACACTGATGGAACCAGAGCCCTGGAGCTGGAGGAACCACATGGAGACCCACGCAGCACCTACATGCTTCCACCACCACTGGATCCATAAGACTTCCCACCCCCTGGCCTGTGATCTTCTTGCATTCGGCATCATTGCATATGTTGTGTGAGTCTGAAGAGGAACTTATAGACTGGTAGGGGACGTATGGGCTAATACTAAACTTATGGACTTGATCTGGACTGGTCTAGGATGTTTTCTTAATGTACGATTACTCTTTGATATCAGTGTCTGGATTTGTTTCTCTTGTTAACCCGGACTCAGTCAAACAGAGCCGCTTGTTAGGTACCATGGCGTCTGTTCCGCCTGTAAACATTGCCCAGCCCTGTGTCAATTCATTGAGGGTCTTTCCCACCCCACCCACCCCTTTTCCCAAAGATCCTCTACTGTACTCATGACTGGTCCCTCCTGCTAACATGTCCAAAGGAAGTGAAATGAGATCTCACCATCCTCACTTGTAGGGAGCATTCTGGATGTACTTCTTTCAAGAGTCTTACTTGTTCTTCTGGCAGTCCATGGTGTATGACTATTGACACCGGCATAATCCAAAGGCATCAGTTCTTCTACAGTCATCCTTATTCACAGTCTCGTTTTACGCATAGGTGGGGAATGTAAACACCATAGCTGGGGTCAGGCGCCCCTTAGTCCTTGAAGTGACATCTTTGCCCACTGCGCTATGTCTTTTGTTGTTATTTGATGGCTACTTTCAGGGGCGTTGATGGTGTTATCCATGCGAAATGAAATCCTTGACAATCTTTTGCAATCTTTTCTGTTGGTCAGGATGTCTATTGGCCCAGGTGTGAGGATTTCGGTGTTCTTCATGTTGAGGTGCGATCCATACTGAAGGCGGTATTCTTTGGTGTTCATCAGCGAAGTGCTTCCAGTGCTCTTTGCATTCAGCAAGCAGCAAGGCTGTGTCTTCTGTGATCAAAGGTGGTCAGTTTTTCCCCCAATCCTGATATGTTTTTCATACAATCCAGCTTCTGGATTAGCTCAGTGCAGATTGAATTAAGTATGGCCAGAGGGCACCTCCCTCACGCACACCTTTCCTGATTTTGAACCAGAAGTATCCTCTTGTTCCGTTCAGTCGGTCTCGTGGCCTATGCACAGGTTTCACAAGAACACAATGAAGTGGTCTGAGTTTTTCCTCCACTGCAATGTTATACTTCATGATTTACAGAGTCAAAAGCCTTTAGTAATCAATAAAACACAGGCACATCTTCCTGGTATTGCTACTGTCAGCCAAGATCCATCTGACGGCAGCAATGATACCCCTTGTTTTATGTATCCAATTCCCTGTTGATGTACTGCTGTACCAGTTCTTGGATATTCTTCAGCAAAATTTTACTTTGGATATTAATGGATAATTTCCAAGTAGCAGGAGAGGGAAAATGGAGAGTGAGGGAACATGGGGACTTGGTGGCATGTGGACCTTATTCCAGGCCATGTTTAGTTTTTTTTGATTTAAAAAAAAAATCATTTTCTTGGGGGCTCGTACAACTCACAATCCATACATCCATCCATTGTGTCAAGCACATTTGTACCTATGTTGCCATCATCGTTCTCAAAGCATTTTCTATTTGAGCCCTTGGTATCAGCTCCTCGCCATGGTTAGTTTTATCTTGAGATGAAGGTGGCTATGAGTTTTGAAGCAGGGGTGGGGGGTGGGACTAGTCAAATGTACCTTCTGGATGTTCTGGTGGGATGCATGGAGGGCTGAGTTGAACTGGTAAGGCCCTCAGCAGGACTGGTATGGTCCAAGTTCTAATCAATAGTGCTTCAGACTAGGGATGGCGGCAGTGACCAACCAGAAGGGTTTCTGAGATGATGCAAAATTGACATACCTCCTTCCAACATGGTCAGCTCCATCCTCAAGAAGTTAACATGCTGACCCACTGCCAATACCCGTCGTTCACTGACTGCTGCTGTGGACCGGAGGTGGGGGAGTCTCACTGCCATGGACCCAGTAGGACAGGCAGAACTGCCCCTGTGAGTTTCTGAGAATGTGCACAGGAGAGAAAGCTCCTTCTGTCTCCTGAAGAATGGCTGCTGGCTTCTAACTGCTGACTGAGCGGACCGCAGCCCAACCCATAACCACTATGCCACAGGGTCTTGTATTAACCTGGATCTCTGAGATGAGAGCCTGCCCAGGGCCTTCCAAATGGGACTTCAGCCACCAAAAAGGGTGGACTCAGGGTGAGACAGTGCTTGGGCCACATCTAAGTCACACAGCTTCCTGGCCTGCACCTGAGTGGGTATGCTGGGTGCTGGCCAAGGGAAATGCGACTCACTTGGTGCTCTCATCTGGCCTGCCCTAGGTGCTGGCCTTCCAGCATGAGGCTAGCCTTGCTGGGGACAAAGATTCAAAACCCCCAGGCCCCCTCTCAGGGGAGCAGGCTCCCACCCAGCTTCTCACCAAACACTGCCTTCTTTCTTTGACCCCAGTGGGGAGGGGTGATGTCATGTCACCTACAGTTCCCACTCACAGCACCGTGAAGAGGGGAGCTGCTTCCAGGAGCGGGGCTTCCTGCTGTTCGGTCAGGGAGCGCATGCTGTTGTCGGGTGTGGGCGGCCACCCGCACACAGTCCAGGGCACCTGGCTTACTTTCTCTTGGGCATGCACACATCAAGGCAGGAAAGGGTTTGTTCTTGTTTTTTTTTTTTTGACAGCCTTTTTATTAAAAAACAAAAGATACCCCCCACCCCCCAAAAATGAACCAAATCAAAATATTCCCCACTGGAGGCTAGTTTTTTTTTTGTCTTAAAAAATTTTATTACACAAATAGCTCCCATTTCCATGTGTCAGAGGAAAGGCATCCTTGCTTTCTAAAATCAAAGAACTGCCCCCCTCGGCCCCAGGCGCCCCACGTATCGGCTGGGATGGCGCAGGAAGTAGCCCCTTATGCTTACATTTAAAATTCTGAGCACAACATTGGAGATGGAGTCTCAATCGGCAACAAAAAATAGATTATTTACAATATTTCTCCGAAAAACAAAACACAATCAAACCCTTTAAACATAGTGACTTTAGGAGTTTTATTTATGGAGCAGTTATTTTTTAATCACCAAGTGATTTTATATTATATATATATAAATTTTCTTCCTTTCCTTTGTGGCTTTTGCCCCGGTGCATGGCGAGATGGAAGGCAGGTGTCCAGGTTGGTTGGGTGTCGGTGGGCAGGCGGGGCTCAGAGCAGACAGCGGGAAACGAAGGTGCTCCACACAGGCCAGCCCTCTCCCCTCAGTCCTGCCAAGGGCAGCCAGCCGGCAGGGCATTGGTCCAGCTGCCGCCCTGGGTGCCCTTTCTGGCTGCCCAGTAGAATGCTTGCTTTTCCAAACCCAAAACCAATCCCCAAACACACGCTCAGATTGGAGATCTCTGCGGATGAAACGTCCCATAGTCTGAGGCACTCTCCCGGCAGTCCCTGCTCTGAAGGGCTCTCGCCACCTCCCCTTTTATCAAGACAAAACGCAAACCAAAAAAAGGTCTTTTCAGTATTTTCCACAGGAGCAACCGAAAAAAGGCAGGAAGCTTCCAATTATAGGTCATGAACAATATTAATAAGTTTTTGCTCAATACCCAGGGTTCTTTACAGAGAAGTCCCCGAGCTGAGGCACTCTGGAATAAGTCACTGGCATTTCTTCGGGGCCTGGAGACCAATGGAAGGGGAGGTGGGCAGGGGCGACGGAGACTGGTGTTCATAAGGTGCAGCCGAGAACCAGCAGAGCGGAAGAAACAGACACGGTGCCCACACCCCACCCTGGCCCACCTCTATATCTGGAAGCCGGCCGTTGCCAGGGTCAAAGCTGGGCTGGGTGGCAGAGAGGACCACAGCCATTGCTTGGGACACATGTGGTTAGGTCTCTCCTCTGGTCTGGCTCCCCAGCCTGGGTAGGGCTGAGACTGGGCGACTGGGCTGCAGGATGGGGGGAGGAGGGTGGGGTCTGTGCTATCAGTACCCTTACAGCCGGGAGCAGAGTGCAAACTTGCGACATCACCTACGAGCTCTGCCGCAGGCTGCTGCCATGGGCATCTCCTCACACACTTCGATATTGACCCAAAAGAAATTGCGACCTTTCTTTCCTTTTTTTTTTAAAGTGCAAAAAGCTCTCTGCTGCCCTAGAGAGAGGATCTTTGGACAGGCCGTTCAATGCAAAGTAAAAGGGGCAGCCGACGGGGCGCACACAGGGCAGGGTGGGGAGTGGGAGACCCGGCTCCCCCTTTCCTTCCGCACACACGCACAGCACACAGCCACACACACAGAGGCACGTGCACACCCCCTTCCTTGGCTGCAGGCAGAGGGCTGGTGACTGGCTTCTAAGCAGGACCCCACCCAGTGGTGACAGGTCGGTGAACCACTGGGTAAACACAGCCTGGGCTTAGGGGGCCTGGGGCCTGGTTGGGCGGCAAAGGGAGGCATGTGGGCCTCCCCCAGCCTTCAGCGGCCAAGCATCCTGGAAAACCTTAGGCAGGTCACCCCCAGGACATGGGGAGGGGCAGTGAAGGACCGAACAGGGGACAGGGAGAGGGGCGCCTGTCTCAGAATCTGCCTGGGAAGCAAAAGAGTGGGGGTGTTCCGGGGGGTGGGGGCAGTTCCAGTGCCTCTGAAATGCCTCAACCCCAATAAGTGCAATAAGGAGCTCAGAGAGACTAGTGGGAAATTTGGGGGCGGTGGGCAGGTGGGCAACCTCGAGTGGGCTGCCATGAGTGCTGATGGCATCTCGCTCCCAGAAGAGGACAGGAGGGCGCACACAAACAGACGAGAGGCTGGAACTTCTCAACAGCACCAGTGTGATGCGCATGGCCTGGCATTCCCAGAGCTGCCGGCACTCCCTCCCGGGATAGCTGGGAGAGCGTGGTGGAGCGAGGACTTGCTCCCATTGGACACCACAGGAGAACCTTGGGGCTGGGTGGCGTGCTTCCCTGGGGACCGCTGGCGGGTGGAGGGCCCAGGGCCCAGGGCAGGTGAAGTTGCACAAACACCCCAATCTGAGAGCCACCGTGGCGTGCTTCCCTGGGGACCGCTGGCGGGTGGAGGGCCCAGGGCCCAGGGCAGGTGAAGTTGCACAAACACCCCAATCTGAGAGCCCGGCCTCCTGGCGGCAGACAGGCCCCTGGACAGCACCCAGCCTGTGCCTTCCCCTCAGATCCATCTGCGACTCCTTTTTCCTTGGGAAGGAGGGAAGCAGGCAGTTAAGCCTGGCGTCCACCACTCCCTCGCCCCGCCTGCAGGGGACGGGCTGGGGGATGGAGAGCTGAGAAGGAGTGGTGCTGGCCTTGAGCCCTGCAGGGTCGGGAAAGAGCTCTCCGTGGGAGTTGGGCAGACTGCCTCCTGTTCAGTCTGGGCGGCACCTTAGCTGATCTTCTGGATCAGCTTCTCGTCAGACAGGCAGTAGAGGCTGTTGATGGACAAGTCTGAGATGAAGTGCTCACAGGCTTTCCGAGTGATCTGCTTGCATCCTCGAAGGTCGATCAAGGTGACGTTGGCGATGCGCCGCAAGTAGATCAGGGTCTGGTCTGTCAATTTATTGCAACCTGTGGGAAGGGACAGGGGACACCGTTCAGCCCGCAGCACTCAGCCCTGTGGCACCCCTGGCCCTCAAAGGCTGCCTCCCACCCTCCCTTCTTCCAAATGCCCCCAAACCCCTTATCCCTGAGACCGGTTGGCTCTGAGGCCTTACTGGTCTCCAGGACAGAGAGCACGGGGCTGCAGCGGCACACCTGCCATGTTGAGCTCAGTAAGAGAGTAGCGCGTGGAAGACCCGACGGCGGTGAGCAGGTTGGAGGACTGGTCTGTGAGGTGGCTACAGTGACTGAGGTCGAGTCTCGACAAGAGAGGCATGTGGCGGATGATGAGGCGAAGCGTGGCATCCGTGATGTCCAGGCCTGCCAGCCGGAAGTCAGTCATGTTCCGGAGCTTGCTGCGATTGTCCTGACCTGCTCGGCACGGAAAGACGACTGGGTCAGGCAATCCGGAGACCCTCTAGAGCAGTGGTACTCCACCTGTGGGTGGCGACCCCTTTGCGGGTCAAACAGCCCTTTCACAGGGGTGGCCCCATTCATAAGAGTAGCAAAATCATAGTTAGGAAGTAGCAACGAAAGTAATTTTATGGTTGGGCGGGGGCGGGGGTGGTGTGCTACCACAACACGAGGAACTGCACTAAAGGGTCACGGAATTAGGAAGGTTGAGAACCACTGCTCCGATTCCTCTGCAGTGCTCTGGGCAGCATCAGCTCCCTGCTGGCCGGCCAGCACCCCACCCCCATTGTAGGTGTTGAGCAGAACTGCCTCCGCCATCGGTGAACAGTGTCTTTGGGCGCTTCGAAGAAGCCAGACCCATCATCTTTGGGCTCAGCTGCTGGATTGGGCATGGTATGCACAGCACAGGGCGGTGTGTGGAATGCTCTACACCCCCACCCCATTTCCGACCTTCACACAAACGCTGTCAGTACACGTGCCGGGCTCTAATCTCTACTAACTCAGAAAACGGACTGTTCTGAGGAAGCTACTGGTATAACTAGCCGTGTGCATCCTCGTCCCGTGACACTCTGCTCCCGCACACTGCTGCTCTGTCCACAGAGCATGCCACCTGGAGACCAGCCCAGAGGAGGAGTCTACCTGGTTTGTCTGCTGGGGGAGTCAGCAGGTCCCGAATCTGAGGGTCCTTGATGCCCACTGCCCACCGAAGATCCAGGGTCCTGAGAAGAGGGCAGCTGGAGGTGCTGAGGGCAGAGACGGCCGACCAGGAGCAGCCCGCCAGGAGGAGGTCTTTCAACCCTGCCAAGGTAGGAAACAACAGCCAATCACACACTCTCTCCCACCATGCTCACTCACAGCCTCCAGGACCAGCTGCTCTGAGGACCACCAGGTTCCCAATGCAAGGGAATAGCCCCAGCATCCCTCTCATGGCTTGAGTGTTGAAGCAGATTGCCTAGTTCCTACTAGAGCAATGTCCCATCTCAAGACATCACGAAGCTGCATGAGAACAAGGGCGTACAAAGGGCAGTGAGGCAGCGCCTGGGCCCTCCTGTGCAGGCCGAGCCACAAGCAGGAACCATGCTCTCCGCTGCCTAGGTGTCCAGAGTGAAGGCTGAGAGAGCAGCAGTTAAGGTGGCCCCAGGTGACTCTAGCTAAGTGGAAAGGCACTGCAGCTCTCCCAAGAACACTCCGTCAACGGCTGCTGCCGCTGTGCCCAACTTGCTCACCTGGCAGCCTGTTGACGAGCCACGTCAGCTGCTTTTTGGAGATGTTGGTCCAACTGAGGTCAAGGCTGACTGGCTGCCGCTTGATGATGCCACTAAGAGCTTGGGGTACGATAGCTTTACACCTGCTCAAGTCAATTTTTGTCCAAAGTCTCTTGTCGCAGCACCTGTGACACAAAGGAGAGAACTGGCTGTCGTAAGCCTGGCAGCTCTGTCAAAGGCACTCTGCTACTGACTGCCAGGGGCTAGTGGGAAAAGCAGAGCTCCCGGTGCTGCAGCCCACGCTCCAGGTCCCTCATCGCCGTCTCAGCAAATACCTGCTTTACTCTGGAGAACACGACAAAGAGCCCTTTGTCACCCCTCTCAGCGTGCACACAGGCACAAGGGTCAGTCCTCCGGTTCCTTGGCTGGCCTCCAGAGGTCTGAGATTCAGCACCTCCACAAATAGGGCCCGGAGGGGGTGCTGGCCTTGGTGCCCTCTATGCATCAAAATTCAGGCCACAGCTGATGGGAAAGGGCTGCCTTTGCACCTGGGCATCCCAGTCCATGTGCCAGATAGCACTGCCAAGGGTCTGGATGAGGACGTGATAAAGTATTCCTGTGCCCCTTCGCCCCACATACAAAGTAGACCACATGTTAGTTCAGGTTCATTTCTCTGTAAAGACTTTGAAGGTCTTCTCCATGGCCCCTGGGGTCCCCTAAGGCAGCTACTTGCACCTCTAGCACACAGACTGCCCAGACGGCTTGCTAACCAGGCTACTGGGTCCCACTCCTGAAGATTCGGATCTCAGAGTGTGGAGATAGTCTAAGAATCTGCATTTCTGACTCGCTTCCTGGCTTGGGTGCCATCCTTTGAGAACTACTGCAATGTGTGTGTGCTCTCCTCACATCAAAAGGTTGGATCTTAGGGTCCCACAGCTTCAGGGCCCCAGGGGAACATCTGTTCCTCATCATAATGAACCCTCCCCTGCTCAGGGCTCTAGTCAGCCGGAGCTTCCAGATGTGAATGTGTGGTGGAGCAGGGCTCCCAGCTGGTCAGCACCTGCACTTGAAGAGCACGCCTGCTGTGTGGTCACCTGCGTCACCAGCATAGACCTGCCCAAGGTGGGCCGGGCAGGTCTAGGTGAGCCCCGTTCCTCCACTAATAACAGAGGCCAGTAAAGAGGATCTCCCATCGATGTCTTAACAGATCAGGTCCAGTCTCTCCTGTCAGCTTAGGTGCACCTGCCCCTGCCCCGTGCCCCGCTCACCATTTATACCATGTCTTGCATACTCGCATACATTCACAAAGGTCTCTGCGGCTGAGGTAGCGGAAGACAGACATCCAGACATCGCGCTGCATCCAGCTCTCGTTTCCGTCTTGAGGCCAAGTGCCCCGGCCGTTTAGCCGGGCCGCGCCCCCCTCCTCCGCGCTGTCCTCATCCTCGTCTGCCTCCTCCTCATCGTCCTCCTCACCCCCCAGACCCTCTTCGTCCCCGCGCTGAGGGGTTCGGGCTGGGCAGTGCTGCACCAGCACACGCGGGGAGTGTCGAAGGTTGGCTGAGGAGGCTGTGATGGCCTGCAGCTTGGGCACAATGGACGTCCCATGAAGCTCTTTGGTGGGCCTCTGCAGTGTGACCGTGAGGTACGAGCCCCGGATCTTGGCCTTCTCGACCTCAGACAGCTCCTTCTTGCCACTGGGGTTGTTCTCCTTCTCCCGCACCACTGTGCGCTCTGTGGCTTGGAGCCGCAGCAGCTGCCGCCGTTTGAAGCGCTCGTCTCGGCTGGCACTGTGGTGGTCGCTGGGGCCAGCCCCTGGTGATGACCGTGTCACCATGGCCCTGGGTGACACTGGGTCGTGGATGAGCTGCAGCATGGCAGTAGGGGAATGGGGTGGGGGTGTGAGAGGCTCGTCGCAGCTCCGCAGGGGCCGCAGGACTTTGGTTTGCACGGCTTCATCGTCACTCTCCTCCATTTTCCGTTTCTGTAAAACAGGCCAAGAAAGCAACCACTCAGAGCCTCTCTTCCTCCCTCCCAAGGCTTCGGGCTCCAGGCATGCAGTGGTCTGCCAGCTTCCCTGGCATGCAGTGGTCTCCTCTGAACCTGTTATCTAGACCCTTATCTCAGATAGAACATAAAGCCCCTAGGTGGGTTGTCTGGGAGACCGGTGTGAGGAGGCAGGTGAGTGTCCATGGACCTAGGCTGAGGGGTAAGACCGGGGCTGCTGGACTTCATTCACACTCTGCCATCTTACTCACTTCTTGTCCCAACCTTTGAATTTTAAATCCCTGTAAAAATCACCTTGAAAGAGGCCTCAGCTCTGTTGTGTATTCTCTGGCCACTTTCATAAGCCCGTGGGAAGCAGGTGGCAGGCCTGGGACAGCCACACCCGCTGCACCAGTGCACAGTTCAAGCCCCTCCCAGTCCCCAGGGAGTGCGGTGCGGGCGAGAGAAGGCAAGAAGGAGCGAGCGCCTGTGCGAGGAGGCCAAGGGCCCGCAGTCCCGCAGAGACCAGTTTCATCTTGTCCTGTGGCACTCGAGCTGGCTCCAGGAGCCAGGCGGTGACACAGACTCGTCAAGGCGCCCAACTGAAGTTCAGTTTCCTGAAGGAGACATTTCATGTCCCTCAGCAACAAGGCTGGTTTCTTTTCCTCTTTCTGTTTAACCAGCCACGTGATCGCTGAACTTAAATAGAGCGGAAGACGGGCAGAAGCTGCAGCAAAAGGGCAGGGGAAGTCCCAAGCCCCTTGAACCTTCCTCAAACCTGGAGTGGTGGCAGAAGACAGGTTGGCCTGCCTCTTCCAACCTTTGGTGTGACTGGTGCCCATGAGGGCTAGCCACGGCAGCTGCCCTGGGCCAAGGTCATGGCACTGGTTCCTTCTGGGGGGAGGGGCTGCCTGCCTAGTACATATGTGGGGCAGGGCTTTCTAGAAGGCCATAAAGGGGCAGATGACAGAAAACCATGAACCTGCCCAACAGGAAACACCAGTACACAGCTGTATTTACAAGGCTGCCTCAGGCGGACACCCCTCACGGTTCAATCCTCCAGAAAGTTCCTCCTCCACAGCCCACTGGGGTCCCTTTCTTGCCACACTCCCAGAAGGTGAAAGGACTCCAGGAATTTACAGATCCCAAGTAGAGCCACATCCAATAGCACACACAAAACTCAAACCCAAACCAAATTTTAAAGAAGCCCAAGCATGCAAACTCAAACAAAAGAGGAAAACTGCCAGGGCAAAAGCAGAGCAGTGCCGACTCCTCCTCTACTCATCCGCTCGCAGGGCACCCTTTCCCCTCCCTCCCACCTCCACCAGGGCCTGCCCCTCACCAGGTGGGTGGAGAGATCTCTCCCTTACCTGGGCTTTCTCCGAGCTGTCCTCCTGGTAGCATTTTGGACACTCCCAACAGTTTGGCAATTCCTCATTAAGCAAGCCCTCTCCATCCATCTGTTGCCAGAGAGGGATGTTTAGAAATCTATCTCATTTTTTAAAAGTAGGCTTGCCTCCTTTATTAAAGAGATACCAGCACATTGAGAGGAATAATTTCTAAACACACAGGCCCATAAAAGGAGAAAAACTGAGAGCCCCTCCAAACCCCACCCCAACCACCGGCACACTGGTCACCCTCACGTATGGCTCAACGAGGAGAGGGTCTTAGGTCACTTTCTAAAAAGCCCAGAAATGAGTGGTTCTGTGGGGCAGAGAAGTCACACCTCCTGCCCAGATATACCGAACCATAATCTTCATTTTAACAAGACTGTAAAAACCACATGGGGAATTCTGTTGCAATGTAGATTCCAATTCAGTTTACTTGGGTGGGGGTGGGGTGGGAGGTGAACCAAGCAATTTCTCAGCCAGGGGTTAACTCAGAACAAACCACGTGGGAGCCCTGGCTCAGAGACTCAAGACCTGGATGACCTAGCCTGTGACTGCATTCTCAACTGTAAGACAGGGTGAACGACCCCACTGGTCTGACAGGGTTGTGACGAAGATGAAACGATTCTGTATTAGATAAATGGTTGCGCTGGCACATAGTAAACAGTCCTTATTAACCACTGTCAATTATCTTAAGATGGAGGGAATTCCCCCTTTCAGCAATTTTCAGATGCTTATTTTTCCACATATAAATCGTTCTGGAATCGGTATACTAGTACAGTGAGTTGAAAGCATCTTAGATTCACTGCAGTCATGACCTCACCCACGACTCCTGGGAATCATCCCCCACTTTAAGGTAGCATGACAACACACACTTCCAGTTAGGCCAATGTGTCTGTGGTCTGAACCGCCTTGTTTCATAAGCTCCTCAAGGGAGCTGGACACACACTATGCGCTTGTCAAATGGTAGCTGCTGCCGCTGCCCTCACCACCTCCTAGGAGCTGATATCCAGAGGTGCGTTGAGGGATACAACCTAAGGGTCAAAGTATCCTGGTGCAGACAAAGCCATCCCAGACACCTGCTGGAGGTCAGACTGGAAGCTCCACCCCGGCTTTCTTGCTTTGTCCTTAAGCTGAGCACCAAGTGCCGGGCACACACACACCCCTCCATGATCTCAGACCACTTCTCAGAGAGGGCCCCAGCCTATGCTGCTCCTTCTCCCACCCCCACATCCTCTACTCACCTGGAGGCAGCCAGGATGCACGATCTCGTTGCAGATGCAGCATTCCATGAGTTTCTTCTCAAAGTCCTGTGTCTCCTCATTCTGATCCACCTCTCCACAGAGGGAACACGTGACTGAGTGAGGCAGCCTAGGCTGAAGGAAGACAGAAACCAATCCATTTCAGCTGCCCTTTAGCTGACGAAGGCGATATCTGCCCCTCAACACGCTCTAACTCCATCCAGGAACCAGGGGCTGCAGGCTGCCCCATGGCTCCCTCCTGGTCACCCCATGAGTGTCAAGAATAGAACTGGGCAAATCTGAACCACCAACTTTCTGGTCAGCAGCTGAGTGCTGAACTGTTTGTGCCACTTAAAGACGCCATGAAACCCACCCATAAGGAGCGTGGGTCAGAGTGTGAAGGGAAAAGTGTGCTGGGAGAGAAAATAAAGAAGATGATGAGAGGAATGAGCAGCTTGAGAGACCAAGACCACCAGGAACTAGCTCAGTTTCCAAGTACTCTTTTAGTTATCCTGTTCTGGGTCTGAAGTGGGGCAGAGCTCTGCCCTTCAAACGCTGATCTCATAGCTACCGAGATCATCTCTAGTGTGAGGCACCTTCCTTCTGAGCGCCAGGAGCAAAAGAGCAACTGAAGAAACAAACGGGAGAAAAGAACTTTGCCTGGGCCGCTCCCAGGGCCCGCCGTCCCACCCCTCCGCCTCCAGATTCTTTACCCAGCAGCTCACTCACTGCCAAGCACTGCCGGAGCACGCAGGACTGCTTCATGCGCCCAGGTCCTCCAAACTTCTTCATGTCCCTGCAGTAGTGGCACACTCCACACTCTCCTTGCACACAGGCTTTGCATTTCCGGCAGCGCACTCGTCTCCGCCGGGCTCCGGACACGATAGGTGAGGCGGCGGCCGGCCGCACAGGTGTTAGACGTGGGGCAGGCTTCATAGTGTGAGGCTTGGTGATGGGGATGGTTGGGAGCCGCACCTTGGGCCTCGCAGGGAATTTCAGCTGCAGAGAGAAAGCGACGAGGTCAGCTAGCTCGGGCCTTCCTGCCTGGCCAGGGTAGGGGCAGCATGCTCTGACCCTGCACGTTGGTGTGCGCACTGCCTGTGTCCCCTTGCTTGACAAAAGGGTGAAGTTGTGACCCAGACCATCTGACCTCTAAACCTGAAGTATCTAGATCTTTCCAGAAAGCTTGCCAGTCCTGCCTTAACCCTCCTATCTACTAATTCAGTTACAGCCCTCTCCTTATGCTGAGCTATTCAGTTCGACCCTCCTTGAAGCTTTCTGGGTAAGTGCCATGTACCCAAATACACTTGGGAAAAAGGAAACAAAAACCACCCTCTGCCATCAGGTAATTCTGACTCATAGGACCCCACAGGGTAGGGCAGAACTGCCCCTGTAGGTTTCTGAGACAGAGCAGCTGGTGGTTTTCAACTGCTGATCTTGCAGTCAGCAGCCCAACGTATAACCCATCGCTCCTTACAGCTCTGGCTTCTGCTCCTGTGAAGAGTTGAAGTCTTGGAAAACCACAGGGGCAGTTCTACCTGGTTCTGTAGGTCCCTCTGCGTCTGACCGACTTAATGGCAGTTATGAGTAAGATTCAACTCGATGGCAGGATGGCAGGGAGACCCCACTCAGGATACACTCCTAAGACAGACCACAAAGGGTCAGAGGTCAAGCCTGGTCTCTTCTCCCTCTCCAGTTCTCTGAACCAAGTCTCAGAGCCAGCATACCGCAGGGCTGCCAGGGCCGCACGTGAACAAGATCCCCAGGTTAATTTCTATGGCTACTGAAGACGCACCCGGGGGATTTGGTTCAAATGCAGGTTCTGATTCAGTCTCCAGGGTGGAAGGGCAAATTCTCAGCAGGGAGTCCAACCAGAATGGGCCTGTTCAAAGCCTAGGTATGTGGCACACACTCTGGTAACAGAAATCTCTGGAATACCTATTTAGAATTTCAGCCCTTATATTTACCCCGATGACCTTTTCAATGACAAGAAGCATGTCCCTTAAGACTTGTTTAATTTCCAACCATGCCTCAAAATGTTTTTCTAATCTGAAATTCTTCAACAGCCAGAGATGGCCAGGTGGGCACCAGCATCTAGGAAGCAGGCAGTAGCTCTTTAAAGACATCTTCCAGCCCCGCCCCTTTTACATCCTGCCTAGCTGCCCTTGGAATGTGATGACTCACCAAGTGTCTCTGAGGAACATTAAACCCCCCCCACTGCCATGACTTGATCTGACCCATCTCGATCCTGATCCTGCAGGACAGAGGTAGAAATGCCCCTCTGAATTTCTAATGCTACAACTTCTAAGGGAGCAGATAGCCCCATCTTTCTCCCAAGGAAATGCTTGTGGTTTTGAACTGCTGATAATGTGGCCAGCAGCCCAACATGTAACCCCACTATGCCAGGAGGGCTCCTTAAAGAGGGGTCTCATTTACTGCCCAGACTCACAGCCAGATTAGAATGCTACCACTCCCTCACTTTTCAGAAATAACCTTGACAGAGGGCAACATGGGCACCTAGCACTCAGGATCTATCTGAGGAGGCCTCAAAATGCACAACCGATGATGATCGGCTGATGGGGACCACCTTCTTCCTCTCCATTGAATTTGAATTTGGCAAAGTTCAAATTCAGCAGTCTCCCACAACAGAGCACCCCTCCTCCCTTGCTTTTTGAATATAGATTTACATCAAAGACCCAATAGGTTACAAGACAAGAGCAGGTCCACGCTGGGGACTAATGGCACATCTGGCCATCAGAACTTGGAAGGCGGTCTCGGGGTTTGATAGTTCGGTTAGGACAGTTGCCTCCAACCAGAGCCCGTTACCCTGCCCTACGAGTCAGCACGGACCCGAGTAATAATTTTCTGTCTGCTTGTGTTAATGTGCCCAGAGCTGCCTGCACTCTAGCTGTGTTCCTTCCCGGAATGGCAGCGATTGGCTGGAGAACAGGCCAGAGCAGCCAGAAAGGCCCAGCAGAAGTTTCTTACCTTATCCCTTTTTGGCCACTGTACTATGGGGACTCCAGTGAGGGCTAACTTGGGATCGCTGTTGGCAAGCTCTTCCAGAAGAATCTATGGGAAAGGACAGGAGAGGAGAGAGAAAAGAAGGGTACAATGAACAAAGAGTTGGCCGTCCCCACAGTATCCAGACTTCACATCACATCAGTCCCTCTGAGCACTGAGCTTGGCCCCCACCCCTCACTTGTGATCCCACTGTATTGTTTGCACCTATACACTGTTATGCAGGGACTGGTGCTACACCTGGGATAGTAAACCTGCACCCATACCAGCCCGTGGCTTTTTCCATACCACTTCCTGCATGCCATCAGCAATAAGCAGGGCCCTTGTGCTGCAGATGACGCCCTGAGACCCAGAGCTGACTGGATGGTACAGACGGACCTATGACAGAGTGAGCCTTTAGGTCCTGGCTCAACCCAGGCCTGTTCCTCCATGGCTGGTTACAGACAGCTCTCCTGACCCAGCCTTCTCTTACTTCCCCCGCCTGCACCTCCCTCCACCACCATGGCCCCTTATTCTCTTTCTGCCCATCTGCTGGGGCAGGGACAATCTTTGGGGCAACAGTTCGCATGCTTCAGCCAATCGACCTGGAAGGATTTGAGGAACGACACGAAGTAAAAAACATGAGCCACACGGGCTGAATGTTATTTAGAGACACCCCTTAAAAGCTTTCAACAAACACATTTTTGAAACTCAAACCTCCTGGTCAATGAAATCCCCTGTCCTGTGACCTCAGGAAGACTAGGGCAATGGTGACAGCAAAAGAAAGGTACCCTGGAGGCAGGTGACATTGGTCCCTTCCTGGTTGCCCCAAGAGTGGCCAGGACAGGTGTCGATTTAGGGGAAAGAAAACTCTGATCCCGGCCAGGTCAGTATGCCTCAGAGGTTCGTGAGCTTGTAGAAGTGGGAGGCATTCCATGCCAGGCACTTTCACCCTGAGTCCAGAGCCAGGGCTGGGAAAGACCCTCCACCTCCAACCCAAGGAGCTCCTCCACACCAGGACCTCCTCTGCCAAGTCTCCAGATGCCTCCCACCCTCCCCCAAAAGGATTTCACTTGCAGCGTTTTATTTACTTCAAGTTGCTATGGCACCCTATTCTGGAGCCTCCTGTTAACACCACACTGCGTGGGGGTGAAGAGGCGGGCTGTGTGCCACGTGGGGCTCTGGTTTGGGCTTGCCAGCTCCCTAGGGTGAAAGCCCTGGTCCATTCAACCAGTGAGCTGTGAGCACCCGCTCCCCTCCCCTCCCCCACTCACAGAGCAGGACTCTGCCCATTTCCTCTGCCCGGGGGCCACTGTCCGCAAACAGGGACTTTCCACTCTCGGCAGCAGCACAGCCCCAGACAGCACCATCGAGAGAGGGAAGGGAACTTCGTGGCACTCCCCCGGGGCCCCGGCCCGGTGGCGGGGGCAGGGTGTACACACCCAGGCTTGGGGCCAGGGGGGAGGGGGGGAGAAGAGAATGCAGATTTCCTCCTGAACCCCATGTGGCCAGGCGATTACCCGCCCCCCACCCCCCACCTCCGCCAAAGCACACCCTTCGCACAGGGTAAAAAAACACACTCCTCCAGCCAAGGTCCTTCCTGAGCCAGAGGGAGTTTGGGGCTGAGGGCTCCGGGGAGCGAGAAAGATGGACAGGCAGCCGCCTGTTTTAGCACTGGGCCTCTGGGAGCACCTTCATTGCCCCGCTCCCACCCTACGGGTCACAGGCAGGGAGGAGACCCAGGTTGGCTGAGTAGGGGCGAGCAACCCACTACACCAGCATAAGCCACCCATCCACCAAGGAGCAAGTGCAGTGACGGCGACCCCCAAAGTCACACAGCAGCGTCCTGGGCCAGCCCAGCAGGCAGCTTCTTCTCCCCTCTCCAGAGACAGTCCCCACCAGCACACACCACCCCCAAAGCCCGAGAGGGCTACTGCTGTCCGCCTGACCTTGCGTCTTGCCGCTCCCCAAGCTCTTGGCTGAAGTTTCCCCAGTGTCTTTGTTTTGCTTTCTGGGTCGGAAGTTGTGCCGAAGGAGTTAGATTGTCTGCTTCCAGGAAAATCCTGCTTCACTTGGACATTCTGGAAGCTCCCCCAGCACGGCCCTGGGTGGCCAGCCCCAGCCTGCAGGCTCCCGGCAGAGCAGCACACAGCTCCACTCCCTGCCAGCGCTCGCTCGCTCGCTCGCTCGCGCGGCTTCCTGTGCCTGTGAACAATGCTGCTGCGTCACCCACATGCAGCTCCCAGAAATGCTTTGCAACGGAAGGCAGCAGGCGGGGAGCCGAGCAGCCGCGGCCCAGGCACTGCAGCCGGGAGGGAGGAGGCGGAGGCGGCGGTGAGCACGGGACGCCCCCTCGCCATTGGAGGAGCTGCCTGCCGCCGCCCTGCAATCGGAGAAGCCACGGCGGCTCAGCCGCCTCCACCAGGCGCCAGCAGGGAAAGGGCGGCCTTAACTCATTCCTTTTCCCATCCCACATTCGTCCTTGCCTCGTCCACACCCTTCTCCTCCAACCACCTCTTATTGTCACAGTCAGTGTACTTAGTGGCCACACACACTTCTCTCTCACTGCCCTGCTCAGGCACAAACTTGGGGTGCCTGGGGTCCGTCCCCAGGGTGTGCTAGGCACCCAAGTCCCCCCCCCCCTCCCACGTGTGGGTGTGGGTGTCTTGGCACCCAGGTCTGGCACTGTGAGTAAGCTACCTCCGGAGATGTCCACCCATCCTGGGCACACACGTCTTTGCCGCAGCTCCAACTGTTCCCAAACTGGCAAATATACTTGTGGAAATACCTTTAAAATTGATACGTGCCAACTAATACTGGGATGTTCAACACAGTACTCCTGTTTAATAGCAACAACATCTACAAGAGATGTCCCTGGGCACGACTGCCCTACTGGACAGAAGGCCTGCACAGCTCGCAGTCCTAGTGGTGCAGTGGTTACATGATGGGTTACTAGACCCAAAGCCAGCGGTTGGCTCAAAACCACCAGTGGGAGAAAGACTCATAAAGATGGTGGCCTTGAAAAGCCCACGGGGCAGTTCTTCTGTGTTACACGGGGCCACCACAAGGTAGAAATTAACTCGACACTTAACAAGACACATTCAGATGAGCTGGGCCCAATCATAATTTTGGCTGACTCTTGAGACTGACCCTGGCTGAGGAAGCCAGGCCCCGCCCCGCCCCAACAGCCTCAGGTGACTCTCCCTGTCAATTGCCCTGCCTTCACAAAGGCAGGACTCGGGGAATTCTGTCCCATTCCGATTTGTTTCACCAGCTTCAGCTAACCACAGATGGGGCAAGGCCAGAGGCGGCCACTCAGTGTCTCTGGGCCACAGGGAAGGGGAAAGTGCCCCATAAGGGGAGCTGCTTCAGCAGGGCAGACACTGGGGGAGCTCAACTCTAGGAGCAGCATTTTTGGCCCAAGGGGCTCTCATTTGTAGAGCCTCATAAACGTAATTTAACTTTTTGGGAAAATATAGATGCTGCTCTGCCATAATGACCTCAGACCAAGAGCCTGAGGTTTACCTAACAGGGCAATGTTCCTACTTATTACCACAGCAGTTGTCTCAGTAAGTTTCTGGTGGGAGTTCAGTAGACTAGCAGATTTACTCTATGTGGTGGGGCTAAGGGGCTGTTCACTTTGACAGTGGTCCACCAGAGGAAGGGCTGTCTGGATGTGCTTACAGGGAATCCTAAGCCTCCTGCTTGACAGTCAGGCATAGAGACCCAAGGGGAAATCAGTTTACTTATGCTGGAAAACGTTACCTTCTCTGGACAAAGGCTTATTTTGGTCCTGCGCACTATCTAATCCAGAGAAGTGATAAGCACAAGTGCTTGGGAGAAACATGTTACTCCAGGACACAGTAAAAGTTCAAGTAGCAAGTGCAAATTCTACAGGCCGCCAGGAAGGGACAAACACCAGGTGGGTGATAGGAAGCTCACTGGAGACTTTTGCAGTCACCCATTAACCAAGGCCTAATTCTTTCCCTGTGCTCATTCAGAATGAAAGATAGGTGACACAGATCAGAATTAGCAAGAACATGGCATTACATCATCCCAGGAATAAAAACATTTGAAAGTATTCCAGGTATCTAACCTTCTGTGTTCCATAACTGGGTTAGAGTATTTAAAACTTTCTACTCAATATGGATATTATTACGGAATTTTCTTGGTACAGGTTACGTTTCCCCAGAAAACAGCTGGCTTGATGGATTCAGAATGAGTGTATAGGATCTGCTTCCAGTTCCACCCTTTACTAAGGCTACATTCACCTTCTAAAGTGTTATAGAAGGCAACTTCTGATTAGCCTTTCTGTCTCATCACACCCTTAGGATGAAGTCTAGTGTACATTTTAAAAATTGATCTTCTTATTGGGGGCTCATACAGATAGTATAACAATCCATAAATCATTTATATCAAGCGATCTTGTAGAGTCAATTTTTTGATGAACTAAAAAAATAAATGGTTAGACTCTTAGGTAGCAGCAGTAGCTCAGTGCACCACAGTGATTTGCAAACTTGTATACTGAGCTTTTTCCATAGACATAAAGCCATTGTCACCCACTTGGGTCATCTAACAGCAAAGACATGACTGACATCCTCTCCCATAGGATAGCTGATCACCCTCCCTCTCTGTGTTCCCTCAGTGCTCCATGTCCAATTCATGCATATATACAGAACACCTGAAAACCTTCAATGGTCGTGTTTTCTTAGCCACTTGAACACCTGTCTCCCCAATTGAGGCTGGACCACTAGAGTAAGTAGGCAGGCATAATTCAATGGCCCAGACAAATGTATTTCTTGGATTCGTAACATTTTTTTTTTCTGTAGTAACACACCTATTGAATGAGCACCTTATGGACAGTATCACAGATTTTCACCACAAACCTACTGAGACAAACTGGTGGTTTAGCAGAAGGGAAACAAGCCTTTATGGTGATGCAGTGTGACAGGCAGGCTCTTCAAACTGTTTGCGAGAAAACAGGAAGTAGTACAGGAGGCAACAACACTGAACTTGTTTCACTGAGTGAGTTAGTTAGGGAGCCCGGGGGATAGATGGGTGCATGAAGAGCT